AAATAACCTATTTGCTTAATGAATATCATCAATATTGCTAATTTTTCTAAAGAATTTGAATACATTCACACAATTCAACTTCAAATCTTTGGGGGAAAAAAAGGTATACTATTATAAAACGACATGTGTAGCTTTTTTCTGTAAAGCATATTGAATTCCTCAAATAATAACTCAGCATTCCTTACGCGCATCTTGTTTCTACCTCTGCATTTGCTCCTCCTGCTCCCATTGCTTAGAAGACATACACACTAGTACCCCTTTTTGAAAGGCTTGTCATTTGAATGCTACTCACATTTCAAGTACATTGGCTCTGTGAAACTTTTCTTGACATATCCCCGTCTCATGAAGTTGGGAGTGTATACCATTGTGCACTCACTCTATTGTGTTCTAGAGTCTCCTACACGTTTACGGTACTGGTACTGATTCTTTGCAAGCTTGTCTTTTTTCTAGTCTGAACTTTCATTGTACAGACTCTCATTTGTCTGATAAACCCAATATATAGCATAGTATTGGATAGATAATAATTGCCGCTAATAGTTTTGTTTTAATGAATGGATGAATCATCTTATTAATTTGGGTTTGGGGAGAGATTTTGTGTTCTATCTGATTTCGCTATTTCCAACAAGGAGAACATAAATGTGGTTCTATAATCTCTACTCTTAATTTTGAAAGATTTCTTTTCGATGAGGCAAAAGTATTTCCTATTGGAATAACTTATTTCTGCGAACGAAATTTTTTTAGAACTTAATGTTGGAAGAAAAGCATTTCATTTTGTGTGTGTTACTGCTTATAGAGCAAATTTAGCCCTTAGCTCTGCAGAGTTGTCAAAGGAGGTGAGCATTACAGAATTGTGCCTAATGCAGATTAGATGCTCAGTAAACATTGTTTCTGTAGTCATTGTGCTGTTAATAGAACTATTCACTTTATGATTTAATTTTTTCTTTTTCATTTTAGCATTTATGACATTAACAGAGAACAGGACTATGTCAAGAATTCTGGGTGTATACTTGGTGAAACTGAATTAAGAACACCCTCCCAGCTACATTCTCTCTTAGAGAAGACCGAGACAGGGTTCATATCAGAAAAGAGTAGGTATCAAACTAAATGCTTTAAGTTATTACTAATAGATCCAAAGTAGACCAATGTAATTTTTACAAATTTAATTTTGATCATATGAAATGAAAAGACTTTAAGAAAATAATTACCAATAGATACAAATTTTTTATAATCATTAGTCCAGAATTGATAGGTGATTAGGGTTTCAGATTGCATCAGTAAAGATATTTTATTCAAGAAAAATTGTTACATTCTTCTACTTGTATTTCTTTGAAATTATGATTCATTTTACTTGATTCTGAATTGAGGTATTTTAGATAGAAATAATACATGCTTATATAGGAAAAACCTAAATTGTAGTAATATATAACGAGGATAAGTTCCCCTTTCATCCACTTCCCAATCTCAATAACCTTTGATTTAAACACTGTTGACAATTTGGCTTCCCATCTTTCTAGATACTTTCAAACACATAATTATTTATTTATTTTTATTTTACCAAAATGGCATTATATAATGCATGTTATTTACTCCACAGTATATAATAGATACCTTTATATGTCAATACATATACAGGTTTACTTCATGTAATAGTTGCAGTACATTTCCCTGTTGATGGCAATTTAGGTTATTTCCAGTGTTTTTGCTGTTACAGATTCTGGTGCATGGAACGCTCTTGTACATATATCTTGTGCACTTACACTAGTATTTCTGAGGTATAGTTTCCCAGAAATGGAATAGTTATTTGGTATGCACATTTAAGTTTTTGTTAGGTCCTGCCAAATTGTGCTCTAAAAACGTATTTATCTTAAACCGGCAATTCTTTAATTTCTTAAAGGTAATACATTTTAGGATTAAATGGTTAAGAGATGGGCTATTCCTTTGACAGCTATCAAATGGCCTGCTTAGACTAGATAAATGTACAGTCATAGATAGTATAACAGATGTAAATTGTAATCTGTCTATAGGGAACGCTAATAAGGATCTTTAATGGCAGATATTGTTGGATTCTGAGTGTTTCTTTCTTTGTTGAGTGCTGTTGCTTAATGCACTAACAGGAAATGTGGTCATGAAATTTCTGGGGAGATGTAGAAGTGACTAGTTTTTGTGAGAATTTTGTGACTCCTAAGTTGTTGACATTAGTTCAACTCATTATTTGCTTTCAGACCAGGTTTTTTTAAAATGAAAAAGAGAACTGTGGCATGGCATCAGCAATTGGTTTATCATTTTTTTATTCCTTTTATTAGAAGTTAGAAAAACGTGTCCAGAACCAGATGCTCACTGTCTCTATGATGGATTTTGAGAAAGAAAGATTAATGTGGATACTCTGAGCAGAATCCAGCTTGTTGTAAGGCTTGACTTAACTTTTCATATTGAATTCGCAGATAGAGAAATGTGCCCAGATCCAGGTGTGCTACAGGAAAGCATATTAACTCAATTTCCAGAATTATTGTGGTTGAATGTAAATTTTCTCCATGTGCTCACTG